CCATCGTCGTCGTCATCATCATCGCCATCATCAGCATCATCGTCACCACCACCATCATCATCAGCATCGTCATCATCCTTGTTCCTCTTTCCCCTCCTCTTCTTCTCACCCACGTGTTCCCCGAAGGGTTTCCACAACGGCTGGGGGAACACGAAGTACGACAGATTGGCCGATCCCTGGCCGCAACAAGCAGGATCCTAGATTCTGAAAGGCCCCGACCCCGTGTTCTTGGGCGGTCTCGAGCGGACCAGGGACTTCCGGGAGCTCCTGGTGCACGTCGCGTACATATTCTGGAAGCCAGGAGGGCCCCGGAACGGGCCAAGAAAGCCCCGGGAGGCAGCCCGAGCGGTCCAAAGGGACCCACGTCGGCCCATGATCGCTCCCAAAGCCCAAGATGGCCTCAAGACGACCATACAGGCCCCCAAGAAGCTCCAAGAAGGCCCCAAGACCACCCCCAGCATCGGGTCGGTTCGCCATCTATGAAAAATGAAAAGACTTGGTCGCGATCCAGTCCGCTCTGGATCGTGAGCCAGTCTAAGCCTGGAACTTGAACCAGCCCACCCTGCATCGCGAATCCGCCTGTACTGAATCGTGAACCGGTCCATTCTGGAACAAAGGCAGCTCCATCGGACCAGATCGCCATCTGGCTCGTCTCTGGCATGTGAATCGGCTCATCGCGCGCCAAGGCGGGCCGATTCTGAGTCTAAATCGGACCGATTCAAGATCCAAACCGGACCGACTGAAGATTCAAAACGGGCCGACTCACCAAGCAGAACAGACCGATCTTTCTTAACGGGCGAAGAACGGTATAAAATAAACTTTTTCGCTGTCGGAGGCGCCTGTCCCAGGGCGGCTGGAAAGTTTATACCCTTACGGTGGCACCGTAAGAGGTATAAACTTTCCAGCCGCCAAGGGGCAGGCGTCCCCAATGGCGGAAAAGTTTATGTTATACCGTTCTTCGCCCGCTGACTTTCAAGAATAACAAATTCCCAACGGCTACAGAACAGAGTTCCCGTGTCTATGTTCGCTCCCGCCCGCGTGAGTCTCGCACCCGGCTGCGCCCTCTACGCCCAGGGGTAAGGACAACGCAACCGAAGAACAAACAAATGACTACCTACCAGACCACCCCAACCCAACCCGAAGACCCGAATTTCGGGTTGGGGGGGTAAGGGTTCCACATGTGTTTTTTCGATGTTTCCCGACCCCCCCCTCACCGGAAATCGAGGGTAAATTGAAGCCTTCGGGTTGGGTTGGGGTGGTTTGGTGGGTGGTGAACAAATGCACTTTCTCCTCTCCAAACGCACCTTTGATGTTGCCGCTTCCGCGTCCGTTTTCGCTGTCGCCCGCGCAGCCTACTGCGGCTGGGGAGCAACAGCGCATGAGAAGATCCTGCTTCCAGACGCGCCGTTGCTGCGACCGTTCCCGCGCCCATTTCCGCTTTCGCACGCGCACTCGACGGCGGCCGGGCGGAGCGGACAATCCGGATACAGGCGGTCGCCTCCTGCTTCCAGACGCACCACTGTTTCTGCCGCTCTCTCTCACGCCTTCGCTTCTGCCTGCGCTCTCTGCAGTGGTTGAATGGAAGGGATCATTCTATGAACAAGGCTCTGGCTTCCAAACGCACCGCTGCGGCTGCTGCTGCCAAGACCGCTTTCGCTTCCGCCGCGCACTGTGCTGTGGTTGGGGGGAGCGGAAAATCCAAAAGAAAGCGGTCGCATCCCGCTTCCAAAGGCACTGTTGCTGCCGCCGTTCCCGCACCTGAGAAAATCCAGAGAGTGGCGGCTGGTGCAAAGCCCAGGAAGGAGTCGACCCCGGATTCCACATGGACCGATCCACTATCTACGATTGGCCGACTCAAGATCCAGCAAGGGGCAGTCAGGATCCAGAATGGGCCGACTGGCGACCTAATCTGGACCGACTCAGGGCACAGCAGATGGCCGATTCTGGATTCAGAACGGACCGACTCACGACCTAGTCTGGACCGAGTCCGGGCCCAACAAAGGGCCGATTCAGGATCCAGAGCGGACCGATTCACGATCTAGTCTGGATCGACTCAGGGTCCAGCCAGGGGCCGACTCAAGATCCAGAACGGACCTATTCACGATCTAGCATGAACCGGTTCACGGTCGCAAATAGACCGAAACACGATCTCGCCGCGCAGAACTGGTATACAAAAACAACATCAACACAAGTCAAATCAACAGAATCAGCGGCGGACGCGCTCGCAAGAAAAAATCGACGCAACGAAAAACATGAATATTCCACGGCAAAGCGCATCATTGCGGGTACTGTTTCTTGCCCTCTCCGCGCGGGCTTTCTGGGGCGGGAAGAAAAACCATCAACCATTCCCGAAAAGATGAAACTCATCATTCTCGCCACTGCGTCTGCTTCTGTTTTCACCCCCGCCTGCGCAACTTGCCGCGGGCAGGAGGCTGCTCATACGATAGCCGTTTCTTCCACGGCCATGCCATGCCCGCGCGGCGAGCGAAAAGGGCTGCTCCTGCAATGAAAAGGCTATTGCTTCCTGCCTCCGACCGCACAAAACTGTGAAACTTTGGACCTTCTTATAAAAAGCGGCAGCGCCAAAGACAGCAAACGATACTCTGAGTTCTTCCAAACGTACCATTGCGGCAAGCGTTTCCGTGTCCGTTTTCGCTTCCGCCCGCGCAACCGAAGTGGCTGGGAGGAGCGCCCACTCATTGGTTTGTAAAAACTATATGTTCCTGCTTCCAAGCGCACCATTGCTGTTGCCGCTCCCACGCCTGCTAACGCTTACAAACGCACCATGCGGCAAGCGTTTCCGCGCTGGTTTTCGCGTCCGCCCGCGCAATCGAAGGTGGCCCGGGGGATTTGTTTAGAATGAAATCTGCTGTTTCCAAGCGCACCATTGCGGCTACCGTTCCCGCTCCTGTTGTCGGCTCCGCCCGCGCAATCTACGGTGGCCGGGAGGAACAGAAATCAAAAAAGGCAGTAGTCTCCTGCTTCCGGGCGCACCGTCGCGGCCACCGCTTCCGCTGCAGTTTTCGCTTCCGTCCGCCCGCGCATGTCTACGGTGGTAGGTGGGAACGGAGACTGCCTCAAAGGCGATAATCCCCTGCTTCAAAAACGCAAAATTGTAGCTACCATTCCAGCGCGCGTTTTCGCTGCCGCCTGCGCAATTCATGGTGGTTGGGTGGAACGGAAAATCCATAAAAAGGCGGTCGTCTCTCCTGCCTCCAAAAGCACGACTGTTGCTGCCATTCCTGCGTCCGTCTTCGGCCCCTTCTATCGGCTACACGCAAGAGTGACCCTGGGTAAGAGTGACTTTTGGTGCGCGGCTTCTTGAGGGCCGCGGGGGGGCCAAACCCGAGCGCGCAAGACGCTGCTAACGCATCGCGTTCGGCGATCGGCGGACCCCATTGGGCCCGCACCAAAGGTCACTCCGACGAAAGGTCACTCTTACGTGTAGTCGATTATACGGCCTTCCCAGTGGTTCCTGCGATTCCTCCTGGTGTTCCGCGGGTTCCTCCTGGGGCGCCGCCCAGGGCTCCTCCTGGGGCGCCTCCCAGGGCTTCTCTCGGGGTGCCTCCCAGAGCTCCTCCAGGGACGCCCTCCAAAAATCCTCCTCCCGGGGCGCCTCCTGGGGCGCCTCCCAAGGCTCCTCCCAGGACCTCCCCCGCGGCTTTTCCCAGGACACATCCCAGGACCTATCCCAGGGCCCTTCCCAGAGCACATCCCAGGACATCTCTCAAGGCGCCTTCCACGATCTCTCCGAGGGCGCTTGTCAGAATCCCTCCCAGGGCGACTTTCTGCTGCAGGCCAAGTGGGCCAGATCCCGATCTTGTCCAGTTTGACGAACACGAGTCGTGCGGACCCGATCGACGTCTAGTCTACACGGAGTGGTGAACCAGTCAAAGCGAGCTTATATCGGACGGACCAGATCTCGATCTAGTCCGACGCGAATCGAGAATCATTCAATTATGTCCCCAAGAGGGCCCTAGGAGGGAAAAGTCCTTGATGTCCAAGTGGTGTTTCACGGATGCTAGCCTTCTCGCAGTTTTCAGCTTGCAGCGTTCCAAGGTGACCCAACAAGCCCCCGATGGCGCCCCAGGATTGTCCAGGAGGCCCCCAAGAGGACCCCCTGACGCCCCAAGAGGGCCCGAAGACGGCCCAAGGGGCGCCCAAGACGCGCCCAGGACGGCCCAAAACACGCCCGAGAGGGCCCCAAGAGAGGCCCAAGCGGGGGAGCACGAACGGAAATGTCGAGCCTTCCGCCTCAAGATGGTCCCAAGAGACCCCCAGAGGCTCCCAGAGGCCCCCCCAGGACGCCCACAAGAGGCCTCCAACAAGAGGCCCCCAAGCCGCCCCCAGGACGCCCCTAAGAGGCTCCCAAGAGGGCCGCCAAGAGGCCCCCAAGACCCACCGAGAGGCGTCCCAAGAAGCCCCCAAGAGGCCGCCAAGAAGGCCGCCAAGACGCCCCAAGAGGCCGCCAAAAGGCCCCCAAGACGCCCCAAGAGGCCGCCAAGAAGCCCCCAAGAGGCCGCCAAGAAGCCCCCAAGACCCCCATGTTCATCCAAGAGGCCTCTGAACCACAGCCCAGGCACGGTGGCGGGATGGGCCGAAGGCCATTCGATAGCTCTCGGTTTCTGCCTTGCCGCCCGATGACATGGATCTACACGCGAAGGTAGAGCGCTCCCTCGATCCCTCCCTTCCTCTCCCCCATCCACCCACCGAACCGCCCACCCATCCATCCACCCGCCTCAATGTTGGCCCACTCCACGCCACCCCACCACCACGCCACACAACACACAACACGCAACAGACACACACACACACACACACATAGACACACACAAGCACACACAAACACAAACACAAACACAAACACAACACACAAACACAAACACGGACACGAACAAAAAACAACACCAACACCAACACCAACACAAACACAAACACACGACACGCCATTGCCATGGCCGATCTCAGAGCAACGCTCAGCTCTGCTCTAAGGTGCTCGCCAGCTGCCATGAGCATCAGGAAGGCCCTGTGCACCAGGAACGACTCCGCATCCATCACCACAGCCAGCGTGAACCTCAGTCTCCGCTGGTTTGGTCGGATCGCAAGCAAGCGTGCACGCTCACGCATGCCCGCGCACGAACACGCACACACACATTCACACATACACACACACACACACACACACATTCACACATACACACACACACACACACACACACACACACACACACACACACACAAACACCACACACACAACACACACAAGTACACATATGTATAAAATTACGCCAAAGAACAAAACGAATCAGTGGATAAGCTGTTATCCGCCACCGTGCCTCGAGGCACGGAGTAGAGTGTTCCCCAGGCTTCTAGAGTTCCCTATACTCTGTATTCAAATATGGGGCCCCGACCATGCGTTTCCACACTGCTCGGGTTCCAATTACCAGGGCGGCGCAGCGCCACCCTGGTAACTGGCGCCGCCGCGCCGCCGGCGCTCTGTTAATTTGCCTCAAAGCATTCGCACTCGCTGCTCCCCCCTCATTGGCAAAGCGCGGCTATACTAAATGGCCTCAAAGAAGGGTTGCCAATCCAGCTCGGGCTCTGATTAGCAGAGCACCACTCTGCGATTTGGCCTCAGAGCATCTGCGAGTTCACTGCTCCTCCTCTTGTTAGAGAAGGGCCGCTCTGCGAATTTGACTCAGAACATGCGCACTCGCTGCCCATGCTTCATTCACCCGAAAGGTGTTCTGCTAATTGCTGCCCCGGACGCCCTGTAGACCCCATGACCTCCCGAGAGGCATCCCACGAAACCCTCATATGCATCGAACAAGACTCTGACCCACAACCCAGGCACGGTGGCGGGATGGACCGTAGGCCACTATATATATATATATACGAATACATAAATATATATGTGTATGATGTATCTCTATACATATATATATGTATATATATGTATCAGCATGCGTAAGTATGTGTACATGCTCTACGCACATAGGTATGCACACAGGTAAAGATACACACATCCACTCCGTAACCATCCCCTCTCTATGGTATGAACCCTGGCACCAAAAACCAGGAACGCAGGAACCAAGACGCCCACCGAGACCAATCCAAAAACCCGAAACGGGAACCCAAAACCCAAAACTGGAAATCCGAGACCAATCCGGAATCCGGAAACGAGAACCTGGAACCCAGAGCCGGGAACCCGGAACCCGGCCGCCTACCGAAATCGGCGGCGAACTTTCGCCAAAACCAATCCGAACCCTGGAGACGGGAACCTGGAACCCAGAACCAGGACATCGGGAACCGCGGCCGCCTACCGAAATCGGCGGCAAACTTTCGCCAAATCTTTCAACGACTTGGGATTGGCAAAGACCCAAAATTAAGGAAGATCGAGGAACCCGAGGCCCTATACGGCTCCTAGAAGGCTCCCATTGCCCGGCGATGACCCATAAAAGGCTGCTCTATGGCCCAAGAAAGCTCCACGAGGGCGTAAGGAGAGAACGAAGAAACCGCTGTCATTGATTTTCCTGACATCATAGGCCGCCAGGATCAACGAAAGGCCGCCGAGATCACCCCAAGACGGGCCAAGAAGCCCCCAAAAAGGTCCAACCAACAACTGCCCAAGATACCTCTGACATCGCCGTAAAACGCAACGCTTTGTAGCTTGACTGTATGTTCCCTGCTCGCAAAGACATATGACATAATTGAACGTAGTTAGTATACACATTACGCTTCGCGTATCCCTACCAGCCCATCCAGAAGCAGATCGCCAGGCGAATTGTCTTGATCAGGGAAGTGCAGAAGCGTGCAGTGTAACAACCGCCTTGGAGGCGTTCTCTCGGAGGTCTCTTCGAGCCATCTTGGGGACCTCTTGGGGTTCTCGCGGAGCCTGTTGGGGCACTCTTGAAGCCCTCTTGGGGCCCTCTTGGAGCTCGTTGGGGCGGTCTGGGAGGCCTCTCAGGGTCATCTTGGCTCAAAAAGAAGGGGACATATATTCAGGTCCCCTCGAAGGTTCAACAAAGGCATCTTGGGGCCGTCTTGGGGCGCTCTTGGGCACTCTCAGGGCCCTCTTGGGGCCCTCTTGAGCCACTCTTGGGGCTCTCGGACAGTCTTGGGGCCATCGTAAGGCCTCAAGAGCCCATCGGAAGCGAAAAGGCGAGAAGGCACAAAACGTTGACTTTCCATCGGTGTTGGAGCCATTTTGGCCTCTTGAGGGGGTCCTTGAGGGCTCGGAGGGCACTTGAAACCGTCTTGGGGCTGGCTTGAGGCCTGTTAGATGTTTGTCGGAGGCTAGGTTGAGCCATCTTGAGGTATATTGAAACATTTTCGAGGCCAACTTGGGCTCTCTAAGACCCTCTTGGAGCCTCTTGAGGCGATCTTGGGGGCTATAACGCCTCGCGCCTCACCCCTCGCAGGCCCAGGGGAGGGGGTAGGGGAAGGGGTAAGCCCTTCCCCCAAGCAGAGTAAGGAGGGGGTTTGGCAGAGAGAAGACAAAACTCGTTCAACCACCTACGCCCTAAAAGGCTGGTGGGATTCTCTACGCGTGCTTATATGCATGACATTCTATATACCGAAATCCGCCCGTGGTGTCCCGCGATTGGATAGTGAAATCGATAGTGAGAGCAATAGTGAGATCCATAGTAAGATCGATATTGGGATCGCTAGTCACTAGCGGCTAGTGAGTTCGATAATGGTAAAGATATTGAAATCGACTGTGAAGTCGATAGTGAGATCGATAGTTGGATCGCTCGTGAGGACGAAAGTCAGATCGATCGTGAGACCGATAATGAAGCCGAGTCAGTGAGATCCATAGCGATAATCGATCGTGAGATCGCTTGTGCGACCTCTAGTGAGATCGGTTGTGAGATCGATAGTGAAATCGATTGTGAGATCGGCAGTGCGATCGATTGCGAGATCGATAGAAGTGGGCAATGCGATCGACGGTGAGACCGATCCAGAAGGCGATCGACCAGGAGCCCGGGAACACAAATACCCGGGAACCCCGCCGACGACCGACATCGGCCCGGAACCAGCACCCGCGAACGGGGGCACCCGGAACCGGGCACCCAGGAGCCCGGCCGCCTACCGAGATCGGCTGGGAGCTCTCGCCAAACCTTCCAACCTCTGGCAGGACCCCGTCGCAGTGCAGGCACTCCTCGGGAATACATCTATCAGAGTGAGGGGGCCGAGCGGTCGTTCACTGTCCCTGGGTGCGCGGCTGAAGTGGGATTCCGCGATGTGGATTATTATTGTTGTTGTTGCTGTTGTTGTTGTTGTTGGTGTTGTTGTTGTTGTTGTTGTTGTTGTTGGTGGTGTTGGTGTTGTTGTTGTTGTTGGTGGTGGTGGTGTTGTTGTTGTTGTTGTTGTTGTTGCTTGTTGTTGTTGTTTGTTGTTTGTTGTTTGTTGTTTGTTGTTTGTTGTTTGTTGTTTGTTGTTTGTTGTTTGTTGCTTGTTCTTCGGCGTCGTCCCCCCCTGCGACCCGGCCCGCGACCCACCCGCGACCCACCCCGCGACCCGCCCGCGACCCACCCGCGACCCACTCACGACCCACCCCGCGACACCGCCCGCGACCACGCCCCGCGACACCGCCCCGCGACGTGCCCGCGACTCACCCGCGACCCACCCGCGACCCATCCGCGACCCATCCGCGACCCGGCCCGCGACCCACCAGCGACCCACCCGCGACCCACCCGCGACCCACCCGCGACCCACTCCGCGACCCACCCACATTGCAGTAACGAAAAATCGGCGCCTGTGGCGGGCCCCTTTGTATAACTTGTGAGAATTGGGTGCCTGCGGCGGGCTTCTTCAGAGCCCCGCAGACTGCAGACGTCCCCGCAGCCCCCTCACTCTTATCCGCAACTACGGGGTGCCACGTATATATATATATATATAGAAAGAGAGAGAGAGAGAGAGAGAGAGAGAGAGAGAGAGCGAGGAAGAGATACACTATATCTACATACATGCATACATGCATACATGCCTACATACATATATGAATATATGTATACATATATACACACACGAGAGTACCGCTCTCGTCCAACCTCATTTCGTCATCGCACAGCTGCACGGCGGCGCTGCCTTCTGCCATTCGCCACCGCGCCCAGGGGGCAAGGCAGAGGGGGCGGGCCTCCTCAGAAGGCCCCAGGAAGCCTCCGATGTTCTGAGGTGCCTTAGAGAGAGTAGAGAGCCAAAAAGTCATATACCCATTGAAAGTATGGAGCTTTGGACCCACATGCTCCAGCATATCATACTCAAGGCGCCTTTCCTGCTTCAGCCGTCCAGTGCTTGTTCCTGCTCCTCTCCTCTTGCGGGGGCGTGGGGGGGGGGGGCAAAAACCCGATCTACTTTCAACGCCTTCCTACTTGCTGCTTCTACCCACTTTTTCCGACTGGTGGTCGGCGACGAGCGAGGGGGGACGTATGAAGGAGAAGGCCTTCTCAGAAGGCTGGGAAGTCCCCAGGCCTTCCGAGAAGTTTTCGAAGCCTTCTCCGAAGACAACAAAACAACTTCTCGGAAGGCGCGAGGGCTTTTGAGAAGCCCCGCCGCCTTCCGAGAAGGCCTTCTCCTTCTCACTTCCCCCCCTTTCGGGGAGACGTAAGACTCTAGTTCGGGGGACTCGGGTTGGCCTGACGGGGCCATCAATGCAAATGACGATGGCCCAATCTGAAATTTGATGCGAGCTCCCGCTGCAAACATCCCACGAAAACTGGACGGTCTAAATCCCAGACGCGCTCCTGAAAAAAACGTCGGCAAACCCTAGTTTTGGCTTACTCGGAGGAGGAGGAGGAGGAGGAGAAGGGGGAGGAGGCCTTCTCCTTCTCACTTCCCTTCCTCGCTCGCCGCCAATGCCCGCTTCTTCCGACCGGTGGGCAGACTGGCACCTTGGGCGTCCGAGGGCGCCAGAGGAGCACGCTCGGCCTGCCCAGTGGTCCCCCACGAGGGAGGGGGCCCACGCCGGGGTGTGCCCAGGCGTTGCCAGAGCCGGCCGCACGGGTGTGGTTGCCAGAGCCAGCCGCACAGGTGTGAGGAGCGATCGGGGCTCAAGAGACGGGGGTCAATGCAAACGGGGGTCAGCCAGAGCGCCGTATCTTGCAGGATCCTGCAGCGCCAGGGTCGCATTGACCCAGGTTTGGGTGCAGGATTCTGCAGGATCTCGCAGGATCCTTCGCATTGACCCAGGTCTGGGTGCAGGATCTTAATCTTGCAGGATCTTGCAGGATTCTGTAAAGCCTGACTGACCCAGGTATGGATTGACCCGGGTCAGAAGATCCCCGAAGTGAGAGGAGGGGGACAGCGCGGCGGCAAATCGGCGGCGAGCGAGGGTCGGGGAAATGCAAGACTCTTCCCCCCTTCTTCCTCATTTTCCTCCTTATCCTACTCCGCCTCCTCCCCCTCCCTCTCCTCCTCTCCCTCTTCCTCCTCCTCCTCCTCCTCCTCCTCCTCCGAGTAAGCCAAAACTCGGGTTTGCTGACTTTTTTCAGGAGCGCGTCCTGGGATTTAGACCGTCCAGTTTTCGTGGGATGTTTGCAGCGGGAGCTCGCATCAAATTTCAGATTGGGCCATCGTCATTTGCATTGATGGCCCCGTCAGGCCAACCCGAGTCCCCCGAACTAGAGTCTTACGTCTCCCCGAAAGGGGGGGAAGTGAGAAGGAGAAGGCCTTCTCGGAAGGCGGCGGGGCTTCTCAAAAGCCCTCGCGCCTTCCGAGAAATTGTTTTGTTGTCTTCGGAGAAGGCTTCGAAAGCTTCTCGGAAGGCCTGGGGACTTCCCAGCCTTCTGAGAAGGCCTTCTCCTTCATACGTCCCCCCTCGCACGCCGCCGACCACCAGTCGGAAAAAGTAGATAGAAGCAGCAAGTAGGAAGGCGCTGAAAGCAGATCGGGTTTCCGCCCCCCCCCACGCCCCCATAAGAGGAGAGGAGCAGGAACAAGCACTGGACGGCTGAAGCAGGAAAGGCGCCTTGAGCATGATATGCTGGAGCATGTTGGTCAAAAGCTCCATACTTTCAATGGGTATCGGAGGTTGGGGGGTGAGATCGCAGTGAAACGGAGACCCCCCACAGGGAAACCGGTTTCGGTTTCGTGTTCGTGTCGTGCGTGCGGGCGAGGCGAAGCTACGCGTGATCCCCCTGTAGCTAGGCCGAAGTAGGAGCGAAAAACCGGATGTCCGTCCGCCGGTGGCTGGTTGGGCCGGGCGGTGTCCCGGGTGTCCCAGGTGGGAGCGAAAGTCCGGGTGCCCGTCCGCCGGCCGGTGGCTGATTGGGCCGGGCGGTGTCCCGGGTGTCCCGGGTGTCTGGGCGCCCGTCCTCCAGTGGCTGGTTGGGCCCGGCGGTGTCCGGGGTGTCCCGGGTGTCCCGGGCGTCCCGGCGCTAACGCAGGTCGCTAATTTCATCCATCATTTTTGTCGGCGCATGCGGCGGGCTTTCTTATCCAATACAGCTTATCTTATCCAACCCATCTTGTCTAATCCAATACATCTTATCTTGTCCAACCCATCTTGTCCCGTCTCATCTTATCCCACCCAATCCAATCCATCCAACCCTATCCATCAATTCATTTGTTTCTGCGCCTGCGGCGGGCCAATCCAATCCATCTTATCTTATCCAATCCATCTCGTCCAATCCAACCCATCTTATCTCATCCCATCGATCTTATCCCATCCAATCCAATCCACCCAAACCAATCCTGCAATTCAGTTTTGTCGGCGCCTGCGGCGGGCTTTCTTATCCAATACAGCTTATCTTATCAAATCCATCTTGTCTAATCCAATACATCTTATCTTATCAAACCCATATTGTCCAATCATATCTTGTCCCATCAAATCCAGTCCATCAAACCGAATCCATCAATTCATCTGTTTCTGCGCCTGCGGCGGGCCAATCCAATCCATCTTATCTTATCCAATCCATCTCTTCCAATCCAACCCGTCTTATCTTATCCCATCCAATCCAATCCACCCAACCCAATCGATCAATTCATTTTTGTCGGCGCCTGGGCGCGATCGCGAGAGAGAGAGAGAGACACAGAGAGTGAGAGAGAGAGAGAGACAGAGAGAAAGAGAATTAGATCAAGGTGACAGGCTGGAGGTCAGTCAGGGTGGGCATTTGATCGCACCCCACCCCAACCTACTTATCGCCCGCAGGGCGGTCGTATAGGTATGACTTTCTGGCTCTCGACTCTCTCTCTCTCTCTCTTCTTCCTCTCTTTCTTTCTCTCTCTCTCTCTCTCTCTCTCTCTCTCCCTCTCACTCTCTTCTCTCTATATCTCTCCCTCTCTCTCTCTCTCTATTTCTGGCTTTCTGGTACTATACTCTCTCTCTCTCTCTGTTTCTCTATTCTGCTTCCGCCAACCGAGTAATGACTTCCACCGCCGGGTTCTGCGGGCCCTCAACCTGCGCTCGCTTTCCTTGTAAATAACTTCTCCCTGTCGCACCCCGAGGCTGGTTTTTAGGGCGGGCCGGGCGTTTCGCCTAAGACTACCTTACCATTAATGACTCTTGAGCTTGAAAATTGGCAACAGCTTCACAGGTAGAGGGCGGGTGGTTTTCAAAATGTGGCTCTCGCCTTAGCACCGCGCATATTCGTTTTTTAAATTTGCAAGAGTTTCACTGATTGAGGGCGAGTCGTTTTCAAATTGTGGCTCTCGCCTTAGCGCCACGCACATTCGTTTTTTTAATTTGCAAGAGCTTCACGGATTGAGGGCGGGTGGTTTTCAAAATAAGGCTCTCGCCTTAGCGCCGCAGTTTCACTGATTGAGGGCGAGTCGTTCTCAAAATGTGGCTCCCGCCTTAGCGCCGTGTACATTCGCTTTAAACGTTTGCAGGAGTTTCACGGATTGAGGGTGGTTGCGTTTCAAAATGTGGATCTCGCATTAGCGCCGCGCACATTCGCTTTTGAAAGTTGCACGAATTTCACGGATTCCCATCATCAACGTACCAGAAACGGTGTTTTGGAAGTCAGGGTTATGCGGGTGCAACAGTTAAGTTGATTCTCTGTGTGCAAGTGCTAGGAATGGCGTTCTGGCACGATTCAGGATCGTCAAGACGCAACAGTCAGATTGATCCGTGGCGGTGGAATCCCGAGAACAATGTTTTGGCATGCTTCAGGGTCTTCACACGGGTGTCTTCCAACAAGGCAGTTCCATCAATGAAAATGAATCGTTGTAGGGGTCTATGAAGAGGGAGCTTAGAGGGAGGGCTTACTCCAACATCGTTGATGACTCTTGGGTTTACACTGGTCCTGCTCCTCCTCCTCCTCCCCCTCCTTCTCCTCCTCCTCCTTCTCCTCCTCCTCCTCCTCTTCCTCCCCGCCTCTTCCCTTTTCCTACCGTCTAGCCCCTCACCCGGCCTCGAATCCCCCTTCCCCCTCCCCCCTCCCTCCGGACGTCCTCGCCCTTTGTCCTCCCTTTCCCGCTCGTACACACGCCCCCTCCTCCCTGCTCGTCCCCCCTCCTGCTCGTTACCAGCATCACCGTCATCGTTCCTCAGCTCACTCCCCCTCGTCACCAGCGTCAGCATCCGCACTCGCCGCCTTCACCGTGACCGCCATCATCGGCGACACCGGTCCCCTGCACCGTTGTCGTCAGCACGCAGCCGTGGGCGGCAGCATCCGAGTACGTCGTCACTATCGCAGGCGTCCTCGGTACCCGTCACCCGTCGTCGTCACCATCGCCGCCGTCGCAGACCTGCGACGATCTCGACATGTTTTGAGACGCCAGCCCCAAGAAGGGTGCGGGGGGGCAGCGCAGGGTGGCCCGAGGCATGCGGGCGGACGATGGGGGGGGGGCCAGGGACCAGGGAACGCATTGAAAGAACAAGGAGGGGCCTGAAATCTGCGAGATCAGATGGACCTGGTCAAGACATCCACACACACACACACACACACACACTCACCACAAACACAAACACACAGACACACACACACAAACAAACAAACACACACACACACAAACACAAACACAAACACGAACACAAACACAAATACAAACACGAACACACACACAAACACACACACACACACTCAAAACACACACACACACACACACACACACACCCTAGCTAGCCATCACCCTCCTCTTCGACGCCTGGTGCTTTTCGGGTCATAACTCGGTCCTCTGGCGGCCCTTCGGGACGATCCAGGCACCGTCGGAAAAGCCTGGAGAGCATCCCGAGGCTGGGAGACCGACGAGAACGAACGAAAGTGTTCGAAAAACCCGAAAGCTCGAGCCCCCCCTGGGGAACGCCCCCGACCCCGAGCTCTCGACCCCTTGCCCAGGACCGGCTCCTCAGCCCAAGCCGTCCTCTGATCGCCGCCTGGACCTAGCCGCGGCCTCCTCCTCCTCCTCCTCCTCCTCCTCGTCCTCCCCCTCCTCCTCCTCTACGCCACCAGTGCCAACAATGCCCGGCTCGTCGTCGCCGCCGCCGCCGCTGCCGCCCGGCTCTTCCCCGCGGCCGGCCGGGGGCTGGCACAGCTGCATCGCCTGGGAGACCTCGGAGGCGAGGGCCGTGGCCATGAACGTCACCTGGATCCACTTCATGCCTCGGGCAACGCAGGGCAAGGCGAGGCAAGGCAAGGCAAGGCGTGCGTGAGTCCGCCGGGGGGGGCGGGGCCCGAAGGCCCGCGCGGGCGGCCCGGGGCCCTCCGTCGCAGATGTGGGACTTGTGGTCAGTGCTGCGTGTGGCGCAGGAATGCTTGTTCCAAATTGCTCCAGTGAGTGCTGTCAAGGCAAGGGACCTCGGGCAAGACGGGGGCCAGGGCCGGGGCAGAGTCGGATCGGGGGCAAATCGGAAACCTCTGAGATATCTGGCGGCTCTGGAGGACGCCTCGGGCGCCGCGGCGGCCTCCTCAGAGCGGGCGTTCTGGAACGCTCTGGAGCGATTAATCCCAGTCCTGGCCCGCCCGATCGGGGACGGCGTCGGCATCTGGCAGCGGCAGCGACTGCGATGAGGGGACTGGTGAGGATGGTGCTTAGATCCACCTCGTGCCTCGGCCAGGGGACGATGGCCGCAGGGCAGGGGCGCGAAAAGAAGGGAGGAGAAAGAGGAGGGAGGAGCAGCAGGAGGACGAGGAGGTGGAGGAGGAGGAGAGGGAGGAGGAGGAGGAGGAGGAGGAGGAGGAGAGTGGGAGGACGAGGAGGAGGAGGCGGAGGGATGGCAGCATCCCTGTTCGGAGTCAAGTGCCAGCAGCGTCAGCGTCATGAGGCGAAGGACGACGACGACGACGACGACGACGACGACGACGACGACGACGACGACCGAGAAGCAGGTAGGGAGGGAGTCAGCGAGAGAGGAGAAGCTCCTGTCTTCCTCCTCCCCCCTCGTCGTCCTCCTCGTCGTCCTCTTCGTCCTCCTCGTCGTTTCGTCCTCCTCGTCCTGCTTGTCGTCCTCATCGTCGTCCTCCTTGGACTGCCCCCCTCGTCGTCCTCCTCCCGATCCTCCTCCCACGGGGGGTGGGGGGGGGGGAAACACGGGAAGGACGGTCCCAGAAGCACTCGAGGCCAGCAGGGCCCGGGCGGAGACAGCCCGCGGCGGGCCGAGGTGCCAAACCGCGGTGGGGGCCACTGCCGAGGAGACCCGTCCTCCCGCTCCTCCTCCCTCCTGCTCCTCCTGCTCCTCCTCCTCCCCTGCTGCGCTGCGCAACGCCTCCGAGCGGCCGCCCCAGCACCTCCCGTCCGCGCGCTGGCTCGCGCCGCGCGCCGCTGCACGCGCGCGGCGGCGGGCCAGCGGCAGGGGTCCCCATGGGGCCACGGACACAGGTGCGGCGTGCGCCGAGATGGGCGCGGGGCCGCCGTGCGTCCGTGCCCACGGAGACCGCAGGTGGAGCTCCCAACGATGCCACGGCTCGTCGTCCCGCGTCCGCCGAGATGGGCGCGGGGACACCGTGCGTCCGCGCCCACGGAGACCGCAGGTGGAGCTCCTACTGATGCCGCGAAACGCGTGCGGCGCGTGCCGAGATGTGGGCGCAGAGACGCCATGCGTCCCCGCGCCCACAGAAACCGCAGGTGGAGCTCCGAATGATGCCACGAAACGCGTGAGGCACGCGCCGAGGTGGGCGCGGGGACGCCGTGCGTCCGCGCCCACGGAGACCGCAGGTGGAGCTCCTACTGATGCCGCGAAACGCGTGCGGCGCGTGCCGAGATGGGTGCGTGAACGCCATGCGTGGTGCCGAGATGGGCATGCGAAGAGCAGAAGCAAGGAGGGCAGAGGGGGAAGGAGTGAGACGAGCGGCAGCAGGGACTCCTCCCCGCAGCCTGGGCGCGAGCAGGCCCGCGAGTCGCCCCAGGTCCACATCCCGCGGGTGGCTCAAACGCCACTCCTGCTGCATCCGGGGAAACCAACAAGTATCCACCGCTACTCCCCGGGGTGCGTTCTGACCAGGGTGTCGATGCGAATCCAGCGGTGGCAACGAGGGCCACCGAGGATGGCCAAAAAGAGGAAAACGGGCGAAGGGTAGAGGTATGGGAACCTTTCCCTCCTCTAATTAAGTCGTGAGGCGCTGGCCAAAAACAATAATAACACTTATATATATATATATGTATACATAAATCCAGATATAGCTGAATATCTATATATATTACCAAAAAACTACTGGGGCGAAGCGGGCGGTTCGTGCGATAGGCTTCCGGCATCTGGGGCGCGAAGGGGCCCGTGAAAGACCCCATGGTCGAGACATCTCCGTGGGCAGCTCAAACGGCATGCCTGCTGCATCGCGGTGGACATGATGCCCGAGGAGCTCGTAGACCTTGGGACGCACAGAGACATACTAGTACTGCATGTCCTCCTCGGAGGCGTGCGTCCGACCCGAACATATAGCATGACCATCTTGTAGTACATCGTTTCCCGAGCGGTGTGGCCAGAAAGCGCCCGCCACGACGAATGTACTATAAGATTTCTCGGTGCGCACGTCGCCCCTGGAGGGGCGGCGCACATGTAGTTTAAGTCTGTTGGGGTGACGCCGAGACTAGGCCAACGGGCGTTTTGCCTGAAAAGGCCCCGCAATCTGGACGCGAGCGGGCCCGCAAAACACCTCTGGTCGGCATCTCCCTGGGCGGTTCAAATGCCATGTCTACCATATCGCAATGGCCATGGGATTATGAAAAGAGACTCGTCGACTGGGCTGAAGCGAGCGTTTAGCTCGAGGTCGCCGCAATCTGGGCGCGAGTGGGCCCGTGAAACACCCCTAGTCAAGGCCTCCCTGGGTGGTTCAAATGCAATGCCTGGTACATGGCGGTGGTCTCAGGGTTCTGCAGACAAACTCGGCGACTGAGCCCACACGGGCGTTTCGCATGAGTGTCCCCTGCGATCTGAATGCGAACGGTCCTTGAAGCGCCACAGGTCGAGACTCCCGTTGGGCAGTTCAGGTGAAACGCCTGCTGCTACACCGCGGTGATCGTGAGGCGCAGGCAAGAGGCTCCACGGGCGTTTCGCTTGACAGGTTCCCGCAATGTTCGGCGCAAGCGGGCACGTGAAACACCCCTCGTCGACACCCCCATTGCGGGCGGATCAGATGCTATCATGCGTGCTACATCTCGGTAGACATGGGAGCTACGAGAAGAGACCAATCTACTGAGCCAAGACAGGCACTTCGCCTGAGAGTTCCCCACAAGACTGGGGCGCCCTAGGGAACTATTTGGACCCCTGGGGGATCCCGGGAAGCGCTTGGGAACCCTGAGGAACTCTGCGGAATTCTGCATCAACCCGGAAGGAATCCCAAGAGCTCGGGGGCGTCTTCCACGAGCCCTGGGGCCCCTCCCAGTGACCCAACTGCCTCTACCGCACCGCCTGGGCGCGACGCGAGGAGGCGCCACGACCCGCCCGATGCGATGCGATGCGCCTCGCCCCGACTGGGTTGGGGCCCGGAGAGGGAGGGGGGGGGCACGTCCGAAGCGCGCACCCCTTTTCGACAGCAGCACCGACGACGGCGGCGGCGGCGGCGCTCCGCTGCCGGCGCCGCCCCACGTCGTCGCAGCTGCTGTCAGCGTCGTCCTCGTCCACATTCGTAGTTGTTGTCAACGTAGCTGTTGTCAACGTAGTTGTTGTCAACGTAGTTGTTGTCAACGTCGTCCTCGTCCTCGTAGTTGTTGTCAACGTAGTTGTTGCCAACGTCGTCGCCGTTGCTTCTCGCTGCTGCGCTCGTCGTCGCGCTCGCTGCCGCAGCAAGCTCTCGCCATCGTCCCCGCCCCGCCGGGCCGCGGCCGAGCGCGGGCGCGGGCCCGCGCGGAGAGGGCGCGGGGCGGGGGATTTATCCGCAACCACCGCCCGGGGGATCACCTTCGAGGGCGTCGGCAGTTGGCGGCGCGCCGAGGTAAAACAAGGCTAGGATCGGGATAAATCGCTCCAGAGCGTTCCGGAGCGCTCTCAGAGCGTTCCGGAACGCTCTAGAGCGGCCGGGGCGCCCAATACATCCTCCAAACCCGCCGATTCTCAGAGATTTCGAGTTATCCCGATCCGATTTTGTCCCGATCTTCGCGTCGTTTTAAGAGGGGAGGAGGGGGTGAAGGCGTCTCAGAAGGAGGCTGCTTCTCAGAAGGCGCCGGCCGACGAGGCCCACGCCTTCTGACAAGCAGCCCCCTTCTAAGGAGCCTGCCTCCCTCCTCCATAGCCTCCCCCTGCGCGCCGCCAAGCCAGGTGGGTAAAGGAAGGGGAGACCGAAGGGTCGATCCCCTCTCGAGTATCCGTCGGTAAAGGGGGTAATGGACGATGATGAGGTTTTACCCTTCTGTACTGTCGAACAGTCAGTGTGTACATACTGTCATGTGGCAATTCGCATTCTCTTTCGCACTCTCATCTGGACATGGTCCTTGCCTCCTTGGGCCGGAGCGTGGATGTCGTAACCTCTCTATGCGTACACGTGCTGGGGAAAGCAAAGGCCAGACAGCACTACCGCGCTTCCCTGCTGGAATTCGTTCTGGCGTCGGTGTCGGTTAGTGTCGTGTTGGCAGGTGTCTCGGTCGTCTTGTACGGGTGCTGGGCTCCCGTCGATGATATGAAGTCGGAGTCCATGCTCATCCAGGTGGTTGTGTCGGAGGCTACGTGGATCCACGTAGTATCATTCATGGCGTCACTCAAGCCGTCGTTAGTGCGCGTGGTCGTAATCCGCTGTCGGAGGTAGCCGTGCAATTCGTCTTCCCACTTTTTCGGTTGTCGACCTTGTTGGCGCTGTCCACGTTGAGTGAGCAACTTGTTGAGCCCATCGGGTGGCGCTGTCACGGGCCACTGTGTGGGCCTGTCTCCACAGAAGTCGTCGCTGTGTCGTGACCCATGGCTCCATATCGTGTAGGTCCATCAAGTAAGTCGCTCTGTGTGGCGTGGCGGATGAAGTCGAGCCACGTCTCAGTAAGGTCATCAGCGATCAGGTTGAGTTCGGGTTCGTCGGGGTTGCTGCCGACTTCATCGTCAGATGACGTGGTGGTAGATGAACTGGTGGTCGTTGAAGTAGAAGCCGCGAATGTGGCGGAAGTGCTGTCCGAGAAATGGTTTGGCGGAGTGGTTGTAGCCTGTGCAGTGTGCTCGTCGTGGTGGTTCTTCTGGCGTCGTGGC